TTGGCAACTATGGACTTCAATCATCAGTCAATGACGGTAATTTACATATTGGAATGGAGTTCGCATCGAAGGAGGAAGCAATGATGGCAATAAAGAGTTACAATATTCGTAACTCAGTTCAGTCCCGAGTTGATCGATCTAACACGGAGAAATATCTGCTACTCTCTACTGCGTCCAACGTGACAACGGATGTCAATGGATGGTCCGTGTATCAAAGAGGAAGGAAGAACAACTTATGGGAACTAACCAGATACAACGATCCTCATACATGTTGTGCAACAGGTATAACCAGGATCATCCCAACTTGGACTCCAACATTATTTGTCAAGCAATCATGCCCATTGAAGCAAAGCTCTCATATAGCTGTTGCAGTGTTGATTTCTGCTATACAGTCACAATATGGGTACACTGTCTCATATAAAAAAGCGTGGTTGGCAAAACAGAATGCCATTTGAAAACTTCATGGCGAATGGGATTCCTCTTACAACGAGCTGCCCAGTTGGTTTCATGTTGTGCAAAGACTTAATCCGGGACAATTGTTGAGTTCGAAACTCAACATCATTACGTGAATGATCGAATGGTTCGCGATCGCTGCCAATTTTACCGAGTCTTTGGACTTACCCTCAGTGTATTAATGCAGTCAACTGTAAACCAATTGTCCAAATTGATGGTACTTTCTTGTATGGGAAATACAAGCAAGTTTATTATTGGCTGTGGTCCAAGATGGAAACCGCAATATTCTTCCTGTTGCGTTTGCCCTCGTTCAAGGAGAAGACACTGAGTCTTGGGCTTTTTTCCTTAAAATTTACGTTTACATTTGTCACCAGGAACGAGTATGCATTATTTCAGACCGAGGAGCCGGATAAAAGCAGCAATGGACTCTTTGGGTACAATGTATAGACCTCCACATGTTCAACATCGTTATTGTGTCCGTCTATTGCTGCAAACTATTACGGAAAACAAGAAGACGATGAACGTCAGTTAGTCGTGCGGATGGGTATGTTACTTTTTCCCAATTTTTCTATCAATTTCTTATTACTTATTTATACTTCATATTAACTATTACATATCCTAATGGCTTAGGTTACGAACTCTTACCTCAAGGTTTGAGTCGATGCTACAAGAGCTGTTTGGCAAAAATAAGAAGGGGTGCGAGTACATTATGGACATCAGCAAAGAAATGTGGACAAATGCATATGACGGGGGTATCGCTATGGTCAATGACAACAAACTTGGCTGAAGCAATAAATTCAACCTTAAAGGGGGTGCGTCATTTACCAGTCACGGCGTTGGTTAAACGACTTATTTTCGTTTGGGTCAACTCTTTGCAAAGCTCGGTGGACAAGCTCTTACTTGGATGCAAAACGGACATATTTATCACCCAAGACTAGTAGTTTGATTTACAGAAAAAAGTGGCTGCATCAATGGGTTAGTTACAAATTTTTCTCGCACCCGTGAATTGTTTCGTGTAACCGAAATGCCACGTCCCCTGCAAGGGATTGAAGCTAACTCTTTCAGAGTTAATGCAAGAGAGGTGGTGCGATTGTGGTTTCTTTCAAGCACTCAAATATCCATGCTCTCATGTCATTGCTGCTTGCTCACATTCGTATTTGGACTACAAAATTATGTTGATCCCGTTATACCAACTTTCACAAGTATTCAAGGTATATGAATTTGAGTTTCCGCCCAGGAAACGAAAGAGACCCAAATGAGATTCAAACTTGGCTTACAATTGTACTAGATCCATTGCTATTGAGGGACTCAGGTCGTCCAAATCTACTAGAATACATTGTGATATGGATATTCGGGAGAAGTCAACAGAACAAAAACGATGTGGGCATTGTAGAAACATCGGCACAATAGAAAAATGTCCAGCTCTGTTATCATCATATAACCGTTAACTCTTATGTAATTAATATTGTATTTAAATGAATGTTTTTGTTTCTAATAATTTAATGTTATTGCATTTATATTTGTCAATGTATGTACCCTAAATAATTTTTTTTAACTTTTAATACATAAATATATTTAATATATTATTTAATATAATAATTAATATATTAGTTATAATTTTTTTAAATATATAATATTCCACCTTCTAAGTAGAGAAAAATTAAATTAAAAAATTAAAAGTTATTAAAAAATTTGTATACGATGACACATTTCATGTTCTGATTGGAGGATTAAATTTATTAAATTAAATTTTCAATAAGACTAATTTTATAAAATATGTAAGTCTTGAAGATTAAATATGTAATTATACTAATTTATTAACTTATACATCAATATTTTCGTTAAATATTGATATGAGATGACTAGATTGATAACATTTAAATAATTAACTGATAAAATTAATAGATCGATAATCAAAATCAAAAATAATAATATAACCATATGTGTAATATTATAATTTCATACATTTTTCCTATAATCGAAACATTTTATAATAATAATAAAATACGTGTCTGCTGATTCTTACATTTTTAAATTAATTTCAATAAGACTAATTTTATAAAATATGTAAGTCTTGAAGATTAAATATGTAATTATACTAATTTATTAACTTATACATCAATATTTTCGTTAAATATTGATATGAGATGACTAGATTGATAACATTTAAATAATTAACTGATAAATAATAGATCGATAATCAAAATCAAATAATAATAACCATATGTAATATAATTTCATACATTTTTCCTATATCGAAACATTTTATAATAATAATAAAATACGTGTCTGCTGATTCTTACATTTGATAATTCTTACATTATAATCGAATCATTTTATATAATATATTATTAATTTATAATAATAATAAAAAGGTGTCAGTTATGTCAAATAGACGAATATTTTGTCAAGTACAAGACCCTAATCTATCTTACCGGCTCTGCATCTGCTGAGGTGATTGCTGATGTTGCACTTTGCCCCTTTTGAGGCGGTTAAGGTCAGGGTTCAAACCCGGCCTGGTTTTGCTAGGGGTCTGTCTGATGGTCTTCCCAAGTTTGTCAGATCCAAAGGTGCTCTCGGGTATGATTCTCTGTGATTTGCTAAATTATCTGTTTAAGTAGTAGTGCAAGGAAATGTCAATTGGAATGAGCTTTCTGGCTGTTTCCATTTGCAGATTGTACAAGGGTATTGTTCCTCTTTGGGGTCGTCAGATTCCATGTAAGTTTGCCTTGTATATTTTGCTAATTGGTAGACTTACATTTCTCATTGCTTAGGAGCTTGTACCTTTGATTATACTTTTCTTCCTTACCTTCTTTAATCAACTCCCTTTTTTGTTCGAAGTTCTAAGCATTTGCTAATTACTGCAAAATGTAAGATTATTGAGATGCCCTTTGTATCTTTCAGATACCATGATGAAATTTGCTTCTTTTGAAACCATTGTTGAGATGATCTACAAGTATGGTATTCCCACTCCAAAGGACCAGTGCAGCAAATCTCTGCAGCTTGGTGTTAGTTTTGCTGGTGCTTATGTAGCTGGTGTCCTATGTGCTATTGTTTCCCATACCTTGTCTCTTTCCTCAATAATGCCAAAGGGGCAACCGTTGGGGACGTAAGTCGTATAACTCGGATGATCCGTTAGAGTCATTTATGAAATCAACTTTTACTTCACCTTGACCCTTCTTCTGTCTCTTGGCCATCTCAGGCTGTGAAGAAGCTTGGGTTTGGGGTCTGTTTACCCGTGGGCTTCCCCTCCGTATTGTCATGATTGGAACTCTTACCGGAGCCCAGTGGGGTATCTATGATGCCTTCAATGTGTTTGTGGGACTGTAAGTTCTCCCTTTATAGTAATAAAGCACCAGACTCTGTTGATACAGATTTCATGTGTTTATAGATTACGCTAATGGAAATTTATGTAATCTTTCAGGCCAACCACTGGATGTGTTGCTCCTCCTGCTCCGGTTGCTCCTGCTGCTGCAGAGCTTGCCCAGGCATAGAGTGCTGGAAAACATAGGATAGTTGAAAATAGCTTGGATGAATGGTTGTCAAGATGGTGGAAGGTATTCTTTTTTGCACTGAGAACATTTTATCAATTCCATTGTTTTGAAAGGAAAAAAAAACTGTCGGTTTGGTCAAGAGGATGGTTTTGATCTCATCCTCCAAACTACGGAGACGAATTTTTGTTTGTTGTAGTTAGATCGTAAATGAAATTTCACTTTAAGATCAATCCCTCCTCGCTGTAACAAGTAAAAAATAATGAGCAGTAGCAGATGATTTACCTTCTTAAAGCAAAGCTTTTTAATGTGCGATGTCATGGAATCAACAACACCAACTTTCGTCCACATTTGGATTAACAGCTTTATATCTTTACATTTCTTCTGTGTATACATCATATGGGATGCCATAAAAATTATGTTTGCAGCTACAGTTGCTAATTGTAATTTAATTTTTGATTTCGCAATGATACTTGAACGCAATATTTAGGATCATATTTGAAACTCGAATTTCTGTCGGGAGACTCAAGTTTCTAGCTGAATGCCCATAGGAACAAACTAAGAAACACAATTCGATGTAAAAAACAAACAAACAAACAAACGAAAACCATAAGCTTCAGCCCGCAGAGAGGGGTGTGAGGTATAATAGAAGCAAGCAATGTAGGCAATTGATAGACTAATGGGTGCTTAAACCGTGGACCAGTTTCTTAAGATTGCTGCAGCGAACCAAAGACTTCTCTAGTACCACGTCCATTGTAATTTGTGGAATTCATATTCATTTGCCTTTTGTTAAGCTTATTTGTTTCGGTATAAATAACCGAGAAGTGTCTTCCTTTGAATTGAAGCTCTTGAGAAGCATTTTCGTTTGAGTTCAAGTTGTTGATCAGAAGTGTCCCTGCTGAATCGCATTGTAGAAATGGAAACCCCAGTGAAGTATATGTGCGTTCTCGCGTTTCTTGTGAGTCTGACCATTGCAGGGCTCAACGGAGTCGAGGGAACCGGTTAGTATTATGGTCCGTGCGGTAGAGAAGGAGGCTGAGAAGTTTGAACCATGTGCATACACAGCACAGCACCGGAGAGCCCCGGTTTCCGTGCGTTGCTGCACCGTAATGGCGAAAAAGGTCAAGAATCCGGCCTGCCTTTGCGCTGTTTTGTTTTCTCAAACAGCATACAATGCCGGAGTGAGGCCGGGAATTGCAGTGACCATCCCAAAACGCTGCAACATTGCTGATCGCCCTGTTGGTTACAAGTGTGGAGGTACAAATCACATACTGCATCACCTTTACTCCTTTTCTTTTGAGAGCATAGTTAATGGTTTTATGGTATTTGTTTCAATAATTCTAACGATGTTATTGTTTATTTCTTGCAGCTTTCACTCTGCTTTGACTCTGAAGATTCCCCATTGCTAGATTCTATGCAACGTCCAACCGTTTATGTTAAATAAAATCTGCACTTGTTTGTTTCAATAATAAGTAAAATGTGCAGTTGTTTCTTTGAATAATAATAAATTAAAGGTTACTCTTCTTTGCAAATCGTCTTCTTTTTGCTCAACATATAATACAATTTCCTCAGTAGTTCCGAAACTCTGAAGCTGAAATTCAGAAATTACATATTTTATGGTCATAGTTGCAATGACATTGTTGATATTGAGGATGACCCTTCACCAAAATAGCCTTGGTAATCCTCGTAGGGCGGCTGAAGAGGAGTTTAAGCAGGGTATCCAGGCGGTGGATAGCCTTCGTAGGGGCTGATGCGTACCCCTCTGGTGGCGAATAAGGATTGTAACCTATCGTATAAAAATAAATAAATTCATCATCGGCGTGGAAGACGAGGACATGGAAGCTGGGTTGTTGGATGAAGCACGCACACCATCCACTGCAACCACTCTGAACCATGGATCACAGTGGCTTGTTGGATCTTCTTGTAGCTAAGCCTATCGGCGTTGTTGAAAAGCATCGATACACAAATGGTACTAAATTATTATTTTTTTGTTTTAATTATTAAAATTTAATTTTTTTGAAAGTTCATACTTAACATTTTTTTTTTAGTACCTCGTCGTTAGGTTAGATGACGTGAAATTATTTTTTATTTTTCAAAATTCGACACGTGTTTTAATTATTTACATCACCCTGCACGTGGAAATGTAAAATATTAAGGGGATGAAATCTTAAAATAAAAAGGGCTTCTTTCTTGTACAACGGGGCCGGGAGGGAGCAATAGAGAAGAAAACGCAGAGACAGTAAACATGGTCTTTCGGAAACGACAACGTTTCGGCTAACAGTCTCATCAATTGTAACTCCATGCTTGTAATCATTTCATAATTCATACCCTTTCCCTTACACCATGTATGCTTTAAAGGCAAACCCCTCACCTTTGTGTTTGTTTTCTTTCTCTACGGTACAAAGACTGTAACTTATTTTCCTTCATTTTCTCTCTCTATCATGAATGCATAATCTTGAAACGTCGTTTGTTGTCGTCACATTTCTCTCTTTTGTACCCGTTTCCATGGCGTTTCACCACAATAACCATATTTTTCTAGACCTTCCTCTTCATCACTTCACCGACGAGTAACAACGATAACAACAAACAGAAACCGCCGGTCCCAATTGGTTGAACACCACCCTCCTCCGTTTGCAGTAGCCTCAGCCGCACGGTGGTCAATTTTCTGACCATGGCTTACTTACTCAACCTTCATACTAACGAAACTGGTTCGGACTCCAACTACATGGTTCCCCAAGCTCCAACCCCGGTGACTGTCACGTTCGTCGTCTTCGCTTCTTCAACACGACCACAACGACGTCATCGAAAACGTGGATGCCACCGCAGCAGCAGGAGGAGGCGATGGTGGGGACTCCTTGAAGCTTCCTCATCTACCACCATCCTTTAACGTTGTTGAGTTCCATCTGCATGGAACATTATTTGGTCTGCACCTCCAAATACACGTTTTTTCCAAATAGATTTCACTATCCATGAGTTAACAAATATAATAAACCTATTAAACTATCTGAGCTTTGAAGCAAAATACGACAAACCAACATCATCTCCTACCACCGGTCGGAGAGGGCTCAGCTCCCTGGAACTCAGCACCGACAATTTTGACTTCGCCTTCGAAATTCAAATTCGACCTTCACCTCTCCCTTCACCGTTAGCGATCATCAACCGAACCAAAAATGTCATTGTAGAACCCTTCTTCTCTCACCGGAATCTTAAACGTCGGTAGAGACTTCTGCTGCTGGTTTCAAAGAGACAGTTGGAAAGAAACCGGCTAAAACTAAACTTGCTTGCCTACTGGCTGAGGACTCCGGCCGTCCTTCATTGAACGTGATGAAATGAAGTCTGGTGGGCGGAAAACCTCTTCGTAAAAGGATGTCGATCAGGCGAAGTCGTCAGACAGCTTTCGGCAAAGAACACTCTGTGGTGGGCCGTCGAAGACGTTAGAGAAGTCATCTACATCGAGATTGTGGTCAAGCATCTCCATGGTGACATGGTTCATTGAAAAAAATGAAATTTTCCATAGTTTTTCGTCAACGAAGATGATGAATAGTTGACATTCCTATGCACATTCCTCAAGATTCGTCCATTTAACTTGGAGAATGATTTTGCAAGAACAAAAAAGAAAAAAAAAAGAAATGAAGAGATTTAAGTTCTGGCCTCTGGGTTTGCAAAAAATGATTACGTGTGTGTATATATATATAAGAAACAAAACTAGTTGAGTTTAGGTTTTTCGAGGGCACCACATTCTCTTCTCCGCCCTTGGCCGTCGCTGTTGAAACAAATATAAAGACAAACAGCAGCAAAGAGAAAACATAGAAAATGCTTTGAAACATAACTTTTATTACTCAATGAATAAATCAAACAACGATTACAACTTTATAAATACTGAAAATGAACTAAAATATCTCAACTAACACAAACGTGTCTTCTGAGTTTATTTGCCTAAATAAAAGGAAACTACTAACATCAACTTCCTAAATAAAAGAAAAACTTAAAACAGAATAGACTTTTTCAGAAAAGACTAATTCAACAACTAAGACAGTAAGTTTCACTGATTTGCAACACTCCCCCTTAGTGCAAACTTAATGTCAACAACACCAAGAGCACTTCGAAACACTTCAAATTTTGCTTTGCCAAGTGCTTTGGTAAATATATCAGCAACTTGATCTTCAGTTCGTATTTTCTGCAGCTGAATGTCTTTAGTCAAAACCTTTTCTCGAACGAAATGATAATGTGTTTTAATGTGTTTTGTGCGGGCATGAAACACTGAATTTTCAGCAAGTTTAATTGCACTTTCATTATCACAGTGAATGGGAACTAGATAATCCTAGACAGAGAACATTTCTTGAATAAGCCTCTTAAGCCAAATACACTCTTGAGTGGCCATAGTAGCTGCTACATATTCAACTTCACAACTTGAAATAGCAACAATAATTTGCTTTTTGATGTACCATGAGACTGTTGTTGAACCTATATTAAAACAATACCCTGTTGTGGAGCGCCTATCATTCACATTACCAGCCCAGTCTGTATCTACAAAATCAGTCAGAGAAAATGATGCATGTTGCTTATACAATAACCTAAAATTCAAAGTGCTTTTTACATAGCGAAGAATCCTCTTTGCTGCAATTAAATGGCTCTCACGTAGTTTTTCCATAAACTGAGAGATAACTCCTACAGAGTATAAAATGTCAGGCCTTGTGATAGTTAAATAGAATAAACTACCAACAAGTTGTCGGAAAAGTGTTGCATCTTCCAATAGTTTTCCTTCATCTTTAGTTAATTTCAAGCAAGGTTCCATAGGAGTAGTCATTGCTTTTGACTCCCCCATACGAAAGCGATTCAATAAACTTGTTGCATATCCTCTTTGAGAGAGAAAATATACATCTGACCTTTTAACCTCCAAGCCAAGAAAACAACTAACCTCTCCCAAACTCATCATTTCAAATCGAAGAGACAAAGCATCTCAAAGATGAGTTATTTCAGCATTGTCATCACCAATACTGATTATGTCATCAACATAAAGAAGGAGCATTGTGCACACTGCAGATGTTTTCTTAACAAATAAACTTGAATTTGCACTTGAAGACTTAAAACCACAAAAATCAAGGTATTGAGCGATTTTACCATACCAAGCACGTGGAGCTTGTTTGAGGCCATACAAAGCCTTCTTGAGTTGGCACATATTATCAGGAAACTCCTTAGAAATGAATCAATGTGGTTTCTCCATAAAGATATCTCTATCCAACTCTCCATAAATAAATGCATTCTTCACGTCTAATTGCCACAATTTCCAACCTTTGTAAGCAGCTAATGATATAATTGTTCGAATCGTCACCATTTTAGCAACAAGATTGAAAGTTTCCTCATAATCTAGACCATATTGCTGAGAAAAACCACGAGCAACAAGACAAGCTTTATACCTGTCGACAGTCGACAGTGCTATTTGTAACACCCTCAACCCATACCCGACCCAGATACGAGTCCAGGATGTCACATTGACTAAACAAAACAATACTCTTAAAAAACGATAAAACATTTGAACTTATATTATTAAAATACAATAATATACATATGCTAATAAGAGTTTATCAAAATACTCAGAGCATACACAACTTGACCCTTTAATTACATGCCAACATTCATTTACATAACGAAAGGACCTACTGATTAAGTTACCTATCTGATAGTTACAGGAGTAGTGTTGTCCAGCTGCTTAACCTATCTTGTCTACTTTCTCGGATCCTACGTGTGAAACACTCACACGCTAAGTCATCGACTTAGTGAGGCAATATAATACTAATAAGAAAAATATCATGAAAATGCCAAAATGAAATGAAGTGCAATAACCATATGCATTTAATCTATATAATGTCCATAACCATGTTTCCTACACATAGACTCATCACATTAACACTCATAAGTTCATATTAATCAGTTCACTAGCCCATGATATCATACTGAGAACCTAAGATATATGAGTACTGTGAGGTTGTGCACTATGCTGTCACCACAGCTCGTATAAATGAATTGAAGTGTCACGTAGAATTGCACCGTTGTGCCATATAAGATTATCCCTAAGGACCACGTAGAAATTCCTTAAGAATCATATACATATGCCAAGGATCAAGTATGTGTCTCAAAAAGAGCTCACACATGTTCCAAAGAATACATATATGTCTCGAATGACCGCGTAGACCCTCTACTCTTGGCATGCCAACTATACCTATAGTTCTCATCAACATAACATGGGCTTTTCCCAAATTACATAGTATATCACATAGACATATCATTTCCTTACCTTCCTCGCATGGCTCATATAACTTTGCATACATATTCATTTAAAACATGTTACACAATGCACATAGTATGAATTCATATCATGCTTCACAATATGAAATAAATCATGCATCAATGTATTGAATCTAGACTTCTCACAAGTCTAGAACTGAATATACCACTATATTCATGCTATGCATATGCACTCACCTATATTTCCTTGCTTTTTCCTCGATCGATCTTACTAGGCAATTGTTCTTGAACTTGTTTATGCTCTGTATCTATATAGTAATTCATTGATACTTATCAGTATACTATTTAATATATTCTAAACTATCATTTCTTGGGCTAAAAGAAAAGCCCTTTTCATCTTTTAATGAAGGTATGCATTGATGCACTACACCATGTATCGATGCATCCCTTGATGGGTGCATCAATGCACTACCTATGCATCGATACATAAATCCCATTCGATGTTTGTATTTAAAGGGGTGCATCGATGCACTACTTGTGCATCGATACACTGATGGTATTCGATGTTTTAAATTTAAATGAGTGCATCGATACACCTTGAACAATTTCTGGGATTTATCCTTGATGCATCGGTACACATTGAATGTGCATCGATGCACATAGCCCAGAAATGTTATTTTAGCACGAAAAATATCTTCATAATCTTCTCAAAACTTTATATTTCCCCTTTTTTTATATCCCTAACTTGCATACTCTTGCTTGAACTAATTATTATCCATCCCATACCTCTAAAACTTAGAAATCCAATTCTCCATATAGAATTTAAGAATCTCACTCAACTTCCAACATGTTCTTAATCTAATTATAACACTTCCTATTCCTTAATTAGCTTGATGACAAGTCAAATCTCACTTCCAATTCTTATTATGAACTCTATTCCAAGATTTCACTTTTCTACTTCCTTTCTTTAATCCTTCCTAACTCCATTATCTTTTGATTTTAAGATAACCTAAGCTTTCCTTAAGCTTAGTTATCATCTAATGATCAATAAGCAAACTTAAATTCATTAAGAATTTGATTAACAAGAAAACTCACCTTTAGTTTGGCTTCACGATGGAGAAGAAAAATGAAGAAGAAGAGAAGTCTGGAACTTTAGTTATCCCTCAATTGCCTTCCACGTGGGTATAAAATATCCTCAACTAATATTTAATTATTTCCTTTATTAAAAGACTCATTTACCCCTTTAGTTCATCCTTCTTTGTTAATTGATCCTACACAAAACATTTCAATCAATTCTTTGAACTTTTCAATTTATCCAACTTGGTTATTGAATTTTTAAATCTCACAATTTATTCACTAACCCGGTATGGAGGATGTTACAAATCTCCCTCCCTTAAGAAAAATTCGTCCTCGAATTTTCATTGTACGAACAGATGAGGATATTGAAGTCACATATCTTCTTCACGTTCCCACGTGGTTTCTTCTACCTTGTGATTTCTCCATAGAACTTTGACCAGCGGAACCGTTTTATTTCTCAATTGCTTAACTTTGTGAGCCAATATTTGTATTGGTTCCTCTTCATAGATCAGATCAGGTTGAACTTCTACTTATTCTGGTGCAATAATGTGAGAGGGATCAGACCTATGTCTTCGTAACATGGACATATGGAAAACATTATGGATTTTCTCCATTTCTAATGGTAAAGATAACTGGTATGTCACTGGTCCTATTCTTTTAATAAATTCATATGGCCCGATGAATCTAGGACTTAGCTTTCCTTTTGGACCAAATCGTAATATTTTTTTCCATGGTGATACCTTCAGAAACACTTTATCCCCAACTTCAAATTCAATCTCCTTTCTTTTAAGGTCAGAATAAGACTTTTGTCGATCAAATACCACTTTTAGGTTATGTTGAATTTCCTGAATTTTCTCTTCCATATCTTAAATCAAATATGGACCGAGTACATTTCGATCTTTGAGCTCATACCAGTTTAATGGCGTACGACACTTCCTCTCATATAACGCCTCATAGGGTGCCATTTTAATACTGGACTCATAACTATTATTGTAAGCGAACTCCGCCAGTGGTAAGTATTTCTCCCACGATCCTTTAAACTCAATGACACATGCTCGCAACATATCTTCCAATATTTGAATTGTTCTTTCTGATTGTCCGTCTGTCTGAGGGTGAAAGGCGGTACTAAAATTTAAGCGAGTCCCCAATGCTCAATGCAAGGATTTCCAGAATCTCGAGGTGAATCGAGGATCTCGATCAGAAACTATAGAAACAGGCACTCCATGCAATCTAATAATTTCTCTAATATACAGTTCCGAATACTTTTCCATGGAGAAATCTGTTCTGACAAGAAGAAAATGTGCTGACTTGGTTAATCGATCAATAATTACCCAGATTGAATCTCTTTTGTTTGGAGTCAGGGGAAACCCCGAAACAAAATTCATCGTTACATTTTCCCACTTCCATTGTGGAATGGAAAGTGTTTGCAATAATCTAGACGGAACTTGATGTTCGGCTTTGACATGCTAACATGTTAAGCACTTGGACACAAATTCAGTAATGCTTCGTTTCATCCCTGGCCACCAATACCGATCTTTTAAATCCATATACATCTTGGTTCCACCCGGATGCATCGTCAATGGACTGCAATCAACCTCTGCCAATAAAACTTTCTTCAACTCTTCATCATCTGGTATCACAATTCTTTCTTTATAATACAATTTCCCATCAGACTTCATCTCAAAATCCTTAATTTCCTTATTCTTTACTTGGTCTATTCTTTTCAAACACATTTTATCTTTACTTTGTAATTCTTCAATTCGGTCCAACCATGATGATTTAAGCTTTAACTCTGCACATAGACCACCGTCTCCAGTCAAAGATAACCTTGCATCTATAGCTCGTAAAGCTGCAAACGTTTTTCTACTCAAAGCATCTGCTACCACGTTAACCTTTCCGGGATGATAGTCAATTATTATATCATAATCTCTCAAAAACTCAACCCATCTCCTTTGTCTCAAATTAAGCTCTTTTTGAGTCATCATGTATTTCAAGCTCTTATGATTCGTATACAAGTAACATCGTTATTCATACAGATAATGACGTCAAATTTTAAGAGCGAACACCACTGCAGCCATTTCTAAATCATGGGTGGGATAATTCTTTTCATGTGGTTTCAACTGTCTCGATGCATACGCTACCACCTTCCCTTCTTGCATTAATACACACCCCAACCCATTGTGAGACGCGTCATTGCATACGATAAAATTCTTACCAGATTCCGGTTGAACCAATACAAGAGTTTCTGTCAAAATTCTCTTTAAAGCTTTAAAACTTTCTTGACATTCATAAGTCCAAACAAACGGTACATTCTTTCTAATCAACTTCGTTAAAGGTAGCACTATCATCGAAAAATTCTTAACGAATCTTCGATAATAACCGGCAAGTCCAAGGAAACTCCGAACTTCATATACATTATTTGGAACTTCTCAGTCTATTATAGCTTTTACCTTTTGAGGGTCCACCTGAATCCCACCTGCAGAG